TGACATGGCACTGACACAGAAACCCAGAGCCTCCCCTTTCCTGAGAGGAATTTTGTGAAGGGAGCAGAACAGTTTCCCTGGACTCCAGCACCACTCATGCACGAAAAGCAAACCCAGTTTGGGTACCCATCACTGGGAGAAATCTGGGGCCCCTGACACCTCCCCCTAGCCCAGATGCCAGCGCTCTGCATCTTGGGAAGCTGAGCCTCAATTTTCTCCTGAGCTTTTACTTTCTGACTGCTGGTGGAGAAGAACCTATGATCTGTGTTTTTGTGCAGCCAGCTAACCGTTTTTAGACTGCTAACTTTCCTCAGACGCTGTGCGTAGGAGCATTTAACTCGGAGCTAAAGGCAGTAGAGCATTTTAAGCTTGACAATGCCAATGCTGTTTCCTTTTCTGGTCCACTCCTAAAAAATTTGTCCAAAAATAATAAGAAAGAGAGAGGGATCAGAACCCAGGAGATTTAACTTTCATTCCCTTCATCCAGCTGTTGGCCAAGTCTCTTTCTATCACCTTTACAATAAGTTACTTTGTCTTCTGTGTAAGAAAATAAAAATCAACTTGTTATAATCTAAAGCTGATTTTGTTCCTTATTGGTGATAGCTATCATCAATCATCTGTAGCAGTTACAGGTTAATATTCAGCCAGGTAGAGGAACCTTCTAGAAATTAATTCTGAGAGTGGTAGTGATGGCAGCTAAGCACAAATTTATTAGTGACAGACCACATATTGCAGATGATATAAGGGGTGGATCACACACTATAATTCTATTTTTTTTCACAGCTTTTTAATTCAAGAAGACAAGCCCATAGACTATCAAGTATTAAATAAAAACGTAATGCATAAGGAGAAAGAATGCTCTTCTACAATGTTATGTATTGAAAAGTGTGACTTTCGTGCTGGATCAAAGCCTTTGTAGTCTCATTTTAGCATAGACTGTGTTGGAAATACAATTATCTAATTATGCAATTATTTTTGTTGAAATTCTTGTCTGCATGTCTTCAATTGAAACTCTAAAGCAAAAATAATCTCAAATTTTATCTTGGCATTATTTTTTACGTTATTTACATTGTTTTAAAAGCTTAATAACATACTTATATTTTTCATGGGACAGAGACCAGAACTAAGAGCAGGTTACATACTTCACGCATTTTTTTCCAAAGTATCTCCTTCCCTTTTTTCGCCTTTTTCTCGGTGCTGTCTAATTTCCTGTCCTGGGCCTCTTTTATGTTTTGGATTTGTTTTCCTCCATCATACATTTCTTAATAGGCATATATGGGTCTTGTTAACTCTAAGCTAATGAGGGATGGTTAAAACAACTTTTTTCTGTTGGGACTCAAAAAAGACTGTTTAGAGGAAGAGATTTAGTCTGTTTGAAATTGCCCATGAGAATATATGTTTGAAAAAGCAACAAGTTAATATTTCCTATTAGAAATGTATCTTGAGGAAATCTACAAATATGTAGGCATACTTTAAACTCGTAATTTATTAATGTATAAACATCATATCAATATTTCCTGTACAGTCTAATAGAAAATTCTGAATAGAAAGTAATTCTGAATTTTCTTAATACAGTTATTAATGATAAAGGAATTGGTGATGAGCACCTTAATTTACAGTGTCATTCATATAATAGTGTAAATCTGTTTTATTATTTAAGGACTTAACTAAGTTAAGTTTTTGATCTTATGAGCATTTTCAGTCACTAGGACATGATTTCATACAGTGGTAGTGACGAGTGACAATTAAGACTTAAAAGAGAAAATAAGCTAGTTCTTTTCTAACCTCTGCAAAGAAACCACAGGCGTTATAACTCCCTTTGCCATAAGGCCTCACGATGTTT